CAGGATCAACAATCTTTTTTTCTGAAAAAGGCCAGAGAGTAAGTATTTTTGATTTTGTCACCATATGGTTCCTGGCACAACTATTCAACTCTGCCACAGTAGCTGAAAAGCGAACCCAAATGACATGGAAACAGATGGGGACAGCTACACACACGGCACATTTTTTTTATGGACACTAAAATTTGATTTTTTTTTTAAAGATTTATTTATTCGTACAGAACTGGGGTACAGGCCAGAAATGTGGAGGGTGAGAGGATTCACCAGAGACAGAGTGGGGAGCAGAACAGGCAGGTCTACGAAGCACACTGCTGAGGGGAGCAGCGGGCGGGTCAGGAGAGGTCTGCCACGCCATGTGGCCACCTCCGGGGCAGGCGGGGATCGAACTCATGCGGAAGTGGCTTAAGCTTCTTTGTGCTGTGCTTTAACCCGCTGCGCCACCAGGGAGGGCCTAAAATTTGATTTTTATAGAACTTTAATGTGCCAGGGAATATTCTTTTCTTTGGATTTCCTCTAGCCATTTAAAACTATAAAAATCAGTCTTAGCTTGAGAAAGTCAAAACAGGTAATGGGTCAAACTTAGCCCAGGAGCCAGAGTTTGGGCAGACAAAGCCACCCCTATTCTGTTCTAAAAGGGGAGGTTACCTTGTTACCCAGCCCCACTTAATGAAGTAAGGAGTGAAGAGGCCAGGTAAAGCTACAGATCTCAGAGACATGTGGGGGCCACACACACAAAAAGGAAGAGCTCTAGTTCCCACGACCAGGCTGGCACCTTGGTTTGCTGGGAAGAGACATGAAAGGTGATCCGGAGAGAAGAGGCCCATACAGACACTTGGAAGAGACACCTGGGTGAGAAACACCTGGGAGGCAGACAATGGAGGCCTTTATCTCAATCTGTACTTTGATTTTGCTCCTTTTGTCCCAGCTTTTTGGGATCTGCTTCTGAACACCAACTCTGTGGTTCCCCACCAGAAAGGTGTCTTAGACTTGTGGTAAGCTTTCGGGCTTCAGTGACCCCACTTTGGGTCAACTCTGTTTGGCTGGATATTTACCTACGAGGGCAATCTGGGGTGTTTACTTAGGGGGAAAAAAAATCCTTCTCTCTCTCCATGCACACTAATCCTATTAAAAGTTATTTCACACTAAGAGTTGGCTTTATCTTTATGCAGAGGTTGGCAGAACCCCATTTTGGAGAGTGCCAGTTTGGGGTTTCCAGGGTTGTCACTCCATTGCATGTGTTAAACATTTCCACCAGTGAAAACAATTTGAACCATGGATAAATGACCCATTACCTTTTCCCACCTTCTCTTTTTCTAAAATTACCAATGCTGATAGCTTGTACTAATCAAAAGCCACCACTTTTCTGAGCACATAAAGTGCTTTAAAACATCTCTTTGTGGCCCTCCCTGGTAGTGCAGCTGGTTAAAGCACAGCACTGACAATCTAAAGCCGCTTCAGCATGAGTTCGATTCCTGCCTGCCCCAGAGGTGACCACATGGTGTGGCAGACCTCTCCTGACCCGCCCACTGCTCCCCTCAGCAGTGTACTTCGTCGATCTGCCTGCTCTGCTCCCCACTCTGTCTCTGGTGAAGCCTCTCACCGCCCCTGAGCCTCTGACCTGTACACCAGTTCTGTATGCACAAATAAATAAATCTTTAAAAAAAAAATCTTTGTGATCGAGGTAAGGCGGCATCCTGAAGGCCCCATTACAGGTGACAGAAACCAGGCCAGGCTAGCCCTGGCGCTCCACTGTGACCAAGCAGCCAGGTGTGCCACCTGTCCATTCACACGCATACAAAAATTCTGTTTCCACCAGGCATTCATCATCATGACACAGTTTTGCTTGGGGGGTGAGGGGTGAATAAAAAGCAAACTGATATGACAAATGTGTTCTCAAGGGTGAGTGAGACTGCCCAGAGTTTATAAGGCTACTAACACATCTTTAGTAAAGTTAATTTTTACTCTCCAAGTGTCACCCAGACATTATTTCCTTAATCCTTGAAAATCAGTTTAAAAGTAATGTGGTG